CACAGGACCAGGCAGTGTATCATTCTCTTATACATTGGGTTGCTATGAGGCTATGAGTAGGAACCAACTCGACAACAGCTAACAACAGTAACATGTCCCATACGGAAGCAGCTGGCTTTCTCCATCCTGCACAGTTCCATGTAATGGGACTTTCAGTGAGCATAGATTGCAGGTTGCCCACCAACCTCTTCCCTTAGCAAAGTGTTGTTTCCTTCCATCTTTGCTTGCCAACTGATGAGAGAGTTGGTCTGAGTCCATCTCTCTACTGCAGAACTCTGCTGACTGAGGCAGAAGTAACTGGCACACACCAACATTCCGAAACTTTCCTGCCATTTGCCTTCCTCTGGACAGTTTGTGGTCTGTGTCCCAAGGTACAGATGGCCTTGGCCAAATCTTTTGCCCTTTCATAAAATGGTTCAATACATTTCTGGTTTGAAATGATCAATATCCACACCCTCCACTGAGTCAAGTCCAAATTATAGGTTCTGTTACTTTCTGCACTCAACTTCCCGGTACTAGACTGATGTCTGTTAGCAATGTGTATGGCTGTAAGTAACAGAAAAACAATTACAGTGGCTTCAACTTGTAAGAAGTTTACTTGATTCATAAGATAAGAAGCCTGCAGATAGGTGGTTCAGAGCCGATGCAGCAGTTTATGTTGTTACCAATGACCCAGACTCCTATCGTTCTGCTTTCCAGGTGGGGTTTATCGTCATGGCTTGTTGTTGTGTTCTTAGTTGTCATCAACCCAATTGGGGTGACTCCATGTGTAGCAGTTTTTGGGCGGCGAAATGAACAAAAAAGACAGACACACACAAAGACAAACAAGACTGCAGCCCCGAGGACTTGCAGTGGTTTAATTTTAAGGTCTCCGCCTGGGCATTATTCCAAATATCTGGTAAGTTGTTTTTCTCCTTCAAAGCACATCAAGACTTTTGTAAGTATCCGAACTTATCTTTTAAGGCTCACAGATCAGCAAGTTCTCAGAGACTCGGTGCTCCCTCCCGTTTGCAGGTGGGAACGGCACGTCTGCGTGCAGGACGTGCGGTCCGGATCCTGGAGACCTTGAAATCAGCTCGGGAGTGTCCGCGTGCAGATCATTCCCAGGCTGATTATTTCCCACATCCATGCACAAAGAAATGAACTGCTGCCCGATCTTGCACCATTCCCCGACAGGTTGCAGATAGTACCATTGTGATCCACAGGGTTTTTGTTGGCTGATTTTTGGAAGTAGATTGCCCGGTCTTTCTTCCTAGTTTGTCTTAGTCTGGAAGTTCCCTGAAACTTATTTAGCCTCATAGCAACATGAAGCCTCCATTGATGGATGAGTGGTGGCTGCATATAAGGTGTATTGGCTGGGAATTGAGCCCAGGTCTCCCGCATGGAAGGCAAGAATTCTTCCACTGTCACCTATACCTCATCTTCATGGCTACTACTGTGCAAAGGTAGGGTATATATGAGATTTTGACGTTGGAATTAAGATGGATCTTTCAGTGTGAGGGCTTGGTTAAGATGGAGTAAGGTTATGATATAACAGTTTAGGATTAGTGGACAAAGCAAGTTGAGGATTTTGAGGTGAGGGGTTCAGTGAATCTTGGGGTACAAACTGTCATTTGATGCCTTCTATTGAAGAGTTAATGGATCATTCAGGAAGTTGCTGGAATGAACAATAAGTTACTTGCAACTTTTTTATCTTCCTGGGCAACAGTTTTCTTGAGTAGTAAATTTGTGTTGATGTGGGCAATAAGCTGCGTGGGGTTGTCGTTACATAGCAGACAACTTGTCTCCATAGCAGTCAGGACAAACAGGGAGGGGTCATGGCTTTCTGCTGGTGAGGCTTTACCTAGATAGACTCCTACACCCCCCTGGCCATGTCTGTGTCTTATGACCACCCCCAGGGAAGCTGGGAAGTCAAGTCTTTTGGTACCCAACTATGTAGTAAGAGAAGATTTAATCATTGTGCATGAAGAGAGAGGGAAGAAAATCCACAAGACTTTAAAGCTTTAAAGAAGGCACTCCAAGCACCATTGTCCAAGCATTAGATGCAGCCAGGATGAGGCCCAGGATTCTCCTCACCAAATGATGCCTCAACTCAGAAGCTCTCAAGTTCACTGACTGTCTTACTCGCCCCTCCTGCTCACAGCACCCATCCAAGTGGGGTCAACAGTCATCGGGCACTCTCTTGAAAAGCTTCACTTCAGCCTGATTCATCAGCAGATAACTAATTCAGCTTCTAGATATTTGATCTCTTTCAGCTTTCTCATCAGCTCAGGGATGAAATTTATGTCTTGGTTCCAGAATCAACACAGCCCTTTAATGTTCAGGTCAAGTTCTTCATACTTTCCTCTTAATTAAAACTGACTCCCGTATTAAGTGGAAGGGAGTTTTCAGATTTTCCTTTCTTAGAGAGGGGTTTATTATAATATTCTGCTTCCACAATGCCAACATGGATAAACATAAAAAACAAAATAATGAAAACAGAACAATATATACAGTATATATGTATAAACTTTTAAGAGTACACTTATAAACTTAAAAAACACAAAAAACAAAATTATATATTATTCATAAATAGCTACATATAAGAGCATCAGAAAAGGAACAGGAAAGGTTCACATCAAAATGATGTAATTGCCTCTGGGAATATGAGAGAAGGGAACAGGGACTGAGTCAAGAAAGAGATAATGCTACTGTATCTATAATAGCTGATTTCTTCTATTAAAAAACAAAAAGACTTGAAGAAAATATTACAGAATAGTAACAGTTTAAAATTCTGGGTGGTAAAATTAAGAATGTTTTTTATATATTTTTAAATTTTTCAAAATTGAAAAATAACCAGATGGAGAGCCAGAGTCCTCACCCACTGCCGTGGGACAGCTCTGGCTTGGAGACTAATGAGAATAATTGTGTCTTGGTTGCAAAAGAGTTTCCGTGTAGTTATTAAAGAAGGCACACCTCTCTTTCCAAAGTGGATACATTTTTAAATGCTAAAATGCTGTTTTGTTTGTTTTTTCCCACTGGACTGTGTTGATCACCATCATCAGAATCAGAAACAGAAGGAGCTAAGCTTGTCAGAGCCCTTCCCACGGCATCATTGCGTGTGACCCTTAGTGACTTGGGTACTGTCATTATTCCTAGTTCACAACTGAGGAGACTGAGGGGAGGCATGGGTTGTCTTTTCCTGCCCAGCAGCATCCACACGCCTTTCTTCTGGGAGTAGCTCCCCAATTCTACTAGGGATCTCACTGCACTCGTTGGAGGCAGTCTTGGAGGGAGTGTTGATTAAGGAGTGCTGACTTTAACTGACCAAGGAGCAGACACGTGACCCAGCTAGGGCAATCACATGGTTTCCTTGGAATTTGAATCTTTTGTGATTTTCCATCTGAGTGGTGGGGCCAAAGCTTCTCTGGCTAGTGCCTTTCTGGCCCTGGTTCTTCCACATTCCTTCGGTTATGAAAGTTACCCATGTGGTAGACGTAATAATGGCTCCCAAACATCTTCATTTCCTAATCTCCAGAACCTGTGAATATGTTAGCTTATATGGAAAAAGGTACTTTGCAGATGTGATTAAGATCTTGAGATGGGGAGATTATCCTGGATTATCCTGATGGGCCCAATGTAATCATAAGGGTCTTTATAAGTGAAAGAGGGAGGTAGTACAGTCTGAGTCAGAATGATGCAGCGTGCGAAAGACTTGGCTGGCCATTGTCTGCTTTGCAGATGGAAGGGAGCCACAAGCCAAGAAATGCAGGAGGCCTCTAGAAGCTGGAAAAGACAAGAAAAATGAATTCTCCCCTAGAGCCTCCAGAAGGAACACAGCCCTGCTGACACCTTGATTTTAGCCCAGTGAGACCCATTTCAGACTTCTGACCTCCAGAGCAGTCAGATAATAAATCTGTGTTGTTTTAAGTCACTACATTTGTGGTAGTTTGCTATAGCAACATTAGGAAACTAATATGCCCAATATCCCTCCACTAAGCTCTTTTTGTTTTGGTATATTTTTTGCTTAAGTAAGCCACAGTCAATTACTGTTGATTGTAATTGAAGACTGTAACTTATAGACAGCTAACTTCCAAAACTGAGTACTCCCTCCCACCACCTTACTCTGTTCCCAGGGCCTGAGTTTCTGTTCTGCCAGCCTGCTTATGGCCCTTTACTAGGACCTGAGCCCATCTTAGTGATGGATCCTGCCCTGGACAACAGGCATTCTAGATGTTGACTGGCTGCTACCTGGTCTCCTGCCTGTCACCTGACCCATATTCCTTGTCTCTCTGCTTCTCCCACATGTTGGGTCATCCTGTTCCTTGTCCAGGACCCTCCCTCTGTTCCACTTACCACTTGGCTAGTGGTGACTTGCTATTGCCTTTCTTCCTTGCACACTGTGCCCTAGACACAGACTTAACCAATTCTGTGCACTCCTGCCCCAGGGTCAATTCCCCCACCACCTGTCAAACCCAGTAGAAATGGCAAATTTTGGAGTATAGCATTAGTCCTGCTGCCCCTTCTTGCTGCAAACCATGAAGTACAACACACACTATGATTGTCTGACGGTTCAAGAGTGGCACTACACAGGCAGAAGCAGGGCTCATTCCAACTCAGAACTTTATTTCCTCCAAAAACAAATTGTTGCCCTCAAGTCAATTCCAACTCATGGCTACCCCATGTGTATCAGAGTAGAAGCATGCTCCATAGGGTTTTCAATGGCTTATTTTTCAGAAGTAGATCACCAGGCCTTTCTTCTGAGGCATCTCTGGGTGGACTTGAACCACCAACCTTTCAGTTAGCAGCCAAGTGCATTAAACATTTGTACCACCCAGGGACTCTTATTTCCTCTAAGAGCTCTGTAATTAATAAATTCTTCTCTCTATGACCTAAAAACACAAATTCTTAAACTACTAAAAAGAAACAAGGCCCACAGACAAAGAGCAGGCTCCGTGGTCTTCTGTAGTTGGTATGAGTTAGAGGGGACAGCATAGAAAGGCATTGGACAGGTCAGTCTCCTAGTTGCTGTCATCATTGGAGTTCATTTCAGCTTTGTGAACCCAAAGAAAGGCAAATTCAGTGTGCTTCCTTTTCCCGAGGCTATCTGTCACTCCAGCAGTTTCGTCAGAATTGGAGGACGTGCAGATGAATCATCTAGGGTAGGCAGCCAACTCTAAAGTATACCAGGAGCCTGTCTTGGCCCTATAGAAGATGAAGAGCTGAAGTGCTGGTTCCTTCTGAGCATCCAAGTCTTTAAGTTTCTTCTTCTATGGGGTAAAAGAGATTAGTTAGATAGCACAGCTTTTGAGAGGGCGAAAACCCAGCATGTCAGAGTGTTTCTCCTTAAAGCAGAGACAGAGCTCTCCTTTAGAGACTGCCAAGAAGTTGGAGTTGTCAACTGTGGTACTGGTATTTTAAGGGGTGATAAGTAATCATGAGTTCTGTGGCCTACCCTCCCCTCCCCCAGAATTAAAAATAAATTGGAGGATAGATGCAGAATTCAGATAGACACCAAAATGTCAGTGCTATAGTTTTAAAAGAGTAAAGAATTATTAGTTTTGGATTAGAGAATATAGCTTTGAACTGTAGCCAGAATTGGGCTTCCTACTATATTTCCCCTGAAGTGAAAGGATGGCCCATCCTGAGACTAAGTTTGCAGCACAGACACACTGGCCTCCAACTGCTGCCTCACACCCACCAATCCTCTAGTGGGCGTGTTCTGGGCCCTGACACAAGTGTGCTGCCAACCATATGGAGGGCAAGAACAGGAGGAGAATGCAGCTACATCCAGGGTAAGTGAGACCAGAGAGAAGAAGAAAGGACTGCTTGTATGTGCTCAGCTCTTCTTCTTTGCCTTACCAACGTGTGGAGTTCCTCCTCCTTCCCTGGGAAGGAGCATGGAGTCAAGGGGTGGAAGGAAAACTATTCTGCTCAATACTTCCTGAAAAGGATTTTTCTGTATGTTTCTATAATGCTCTCAAATTACATACCGTATAAATCACTATTACGTTTTCAAATGTATCTATATAAGTACTCATAATATGAACTTAGAAATATAAATATGTCTACCTTTGTGAGTATCTCTAACCATTAACTATAAGTCAGTAGAAACCTGTAAGTTGTTAGAAAGTTATTTACAAAATATCTAACTTTAGAAATTGAAACATAGAAGTATGTGAAGAATGTAAACAACCTTCAAGTTGACTTTGACCAGGCATGCTGTGATAAAAGAAAACATATATTTGATCTTTGTAAACTACCCTTGAGACATAAGTCATAAACAACCTTTCTACTCTCTAACCTCGAAGAAAAGATGCAATATATTCGACTAATCTCTAACCCGGAAAGAGGATGTAACATACTACTGCTTGATGTTGCACTGGCCCTTATCATGTGAGGCCAAGGTGACAAATTCATATATAAGCACTGGATGTCTGTTCACTCACTGAGAGAAGGCAAAGACAAAGTATCACGCTCTCAACTCTGACACTCTCCAAAGAAGAGACTCTGCCTGCTGCCACTGACCTCGGACCCTAGCTACCAGGGACCTCTGCAGAGTTCTAGCCATGGTCACGCCTTCCTTCTGAGACCACTTGTTAAAGGTAAATGCCTGAAGTCTAAAATTTGGACTCTCACCACGGAATTAACATTTTACTTGTAATTGTTAATTCTGATTCTCCAGTTCTAAATGAATGTCTTTAGGTCTTACTTATGTGCCTTTCCATGACTACCTTATAATAAAAAACTAAACTAGTTTATATATAACAAATCTGACTATTTCTCAACTTATTTTAAAATAAAATCCTACAAAACATAGATGTTCCAGTTATATTGGCCAAGATAAGAATTTGGGGAGAGGGAGAGGCATTAAGCATCTTGGCTTCCTACTCTGGGGTGGTCAAGGATAAAAGACATTGGGCTGGAATGCTCACCTTCAGCTGTAGTGATGGTCGGCTTTGTCCTCTGCAATTGTCACAGCAGAGACAGAGCTCTCCTTTAGAGACTGCCAAGAGAATCAGACTTCCTTTCTCTTCACAGGCTGACCTCAAGTGTGAAGCTAATACAAAGAAGGTCTCTGGAACATATAGTCAGAAAAATGGGTCAGTCCTCAGAGCACGGAAGTGCCCTCCTATCTGCTGGGCTTTTAGGCATAATGTGTAACTCTCCATCCTTAGCTCTGTGGCCTACATCCACCTCCATCATGCTGGTCCAAGCCTGTTCTTCGTTCAGAGCCTGAGCTTTGGCTCCTTCTAAATTTCAGCCCTTCCAGAAAGGCTCCCCTCAGGTCTAGTCATCGTTACATACCCATATCCAATTCCTAATGGTCCCTGGGGATTTTCTTCCCAGCTATTGGCTCTAAAGGTGTGGACAGCACAGAGCTGACCACACTTAGAGGAAAGCCTGACCCTGGTGGGTGGGGACAGAAAACACAACCAATACTAACAGTCACCTGGATGTCTGTAGCTTTTATTGGGAACTGCTTTGAGGGTTTCAGAGTCCAGGGCCAAAACTTTGTGATCCCCACCATGAATGCTGAATTTCTCCGGGGCTTTGGCCTTCACATTCAGACCTAGATCAGATGTTAACAACTCACCTTGAGAATGGAAGGCTCAGCCCTTTCTACCCTACACCCCAGTCCCAGCCCCAGCTTTCCATCTGCCTGCAGGCTCAGACATCGCAGCCTGCCAAATACTTCTCCCACTCTTGGGCTTTCTACCTTGCTTGGGGCAGGTACTTTAGCACTATGTGTAAGCACATAGGTTCCAGATTTTGACCAGTGGGTTCAAATCCAAACTCTATCACTTACTGCTATAGGACCTACAAGCGACTAAATCTCTCCAAACCTAAGTGTTCTCATCTGTGATACGGGATAATAACAGTACCTGCCTGACAGGGGTGTTGTGAAGATTAAAATGCTTACTCCAATGAGTAGCACTTGGCCAGGTATCAAAGCTAAAGAGAGAATTCAGTACATGTTAATCACCAATTGTCTCAACCCTCTTTCCTGTACCCTCTCTTGGGGGCATCATCCCATCAGCAATGCCTGGAGTGGCACAGTTCCCTGTACTGGGTGGGCAAATAGAGGGTCAGTGGAGAATTGGGGTTGAGAAATGGAGGCAGGAAGCACCCAGGAACCCAGAATCATGTGCAACTGAGCTGGTACTGCAGGGGTTCCTAGGAAAAGCCTGAAGATTTGCACCCTGCACTGGAGGAACCTCTCTGTATAGGGCTTGGGGTCCTAGGGGAGCCCTGGTGGCACAGTGGTTAAGAGCTCGGCTGCTAACCAAAAAGTTGGCAGTTCAAATCCACTAGCTGCTCCTTGGAAACCCTATGAGGCAGTTCTACTCTGCCTTATAGGGTCTCTATGAGTGGGAATCAACTCTAAGGCAACAGGTTTGGTTTTTTTATTTTGGTTTGTTGTACTACGAATTCATTCACCCAGTCCTGCGTAGAGGTGAGAGGCCCCACATAAGGAAACTTCTCTACTGGGCCTCTGATTGGGCAGATAACCTGTCCCTCAGTGAGGGAGCTCAGTCATTGGTTTGATGGAGGGCAGTAGCCTACCGGCTGGGACAATGACTGTGTCTGTCATGGATGGGCAGTGGCAAAATGCCAACTATGATAATCACCAGGCGATGTGATTATGTAATTATCTATCACAAGCAATTAGAGTAAAAATATTACTTTTAAGGTCTCATTCCCTTCCCAAGATATAAGCACAAGGCCTCTGGTTTTTCAGCTCAGAATGTCCTCTTCTGGTCTCCTTCTGCACAGAGAATGGGGAAGACTCCTCCTGTGACACCCAGCTCTCCTACCACCTCTTCCTGAAGCCCTCCTCAGCCCCCTCTGCTCAGGACTGCATCCCCTCTGGCTGCCGCAGCACTGTGCACTTCCCACTCTTAACTGCAGCACAGGTATTGGTGTCCTTGTCTATTGCCATACAGCACTGTAAGCTCCCACGAGCAGGCCCCATTTCTGATTTGTCCTTGGTCCTCTACAGCCCCAGTCTAACGTCCCAAGCATTACAAACACTCAGCTTTCATGGAACAGATGACTGGCCCCAGGTGAGATCCTAAGCATCTCTTCAGTGAAATGGGGTCAGATGGGATCCATGGTTCCCAGCCTGGCTTACATTAGAGTCTCCACAGGCATTCTTTTGGGCCACATTCGAAGATATTCAGAGTTCATGGAGGGTGCAGGTTGGTTGAAAATCATTGACCTGGTTTAACTCTAAGCCTTTCAACTTCTTAATCTCTAACGCGCGATGAATTGCCAGGAGATTTTGGTTCAGTAGGTCTGGGTGCTGTTCTAAATCCTGCATTTGTATTAAGCTCCGGGTGTTGTCCATGCTGTTGGTTGGAGGACCACTCTGTGAGTGGAAAGGTCTAAGGGTGGCTACTCTCAGCCTTGGCTATACATTGGGAATCACTGGGTGGGAGACATTTGAAGACCATGGACGTTTGAAGACATTTGAAGATCCACCCCTGTGAGATTCTGGTTCACTTGGTCGGGGAACATGCAATTTTTCAGAAGTTGCATTTCCAGCACTAGCAGTGAGCATTTTTACCTCTTAAGTATTTCTTTATAAAAAAAATAATTAATTAATTTTTAAATTTTCTTTTGGTTGAGAATATACGCAGGAAAATAGACACCAATTCAACTGTTTCTACATGTACAATTCAGTAACATTGATTACATTCTTTGAGTTGAGCAACCATTCTCACCCTCCTTTTCTGAGTTGTTCCTCCTCATTAACATAAACTTACTCCCCCTTAGGTTCTTATCTAAGAGTTGTTGTTGTCACTTCGACCCCGTATACACCCATTCGCTTTGAGTCGATTCGGACTCATAGCGACCCTTTATGGCAGAGTAGGACTGCCCCATAGGGTTTCCAGGGCTGTAATCTTTATGGGAGCAGACTGCCACATCTTCCTATGGTCGAGTGGCTGGTGGGTTTGAACCACCAACTTTTCAATTAGCAGCTGAGCGCTTAACCACTGCACCACCAGGGCTCCTTTTAATCTCATATAGATAGTTCTTAAAAGAGCATAATGCTCAAGACAGATATGTTTTACTTGTTAAGCTAAACTATTGATTGGTTTTAAGAAGACCTCAGGGGATAGTTTTAGTTTAGGGTTTAAAGATTATCTCAGGGCAATACTTTCAGGGGTTCATCCAGCCTCTATGGCTCCAGAAAGTCTGGAGTCCATAAGAATAGTAAATGCTGTTCTGCATTTTCCCCCTTTTGATCAGGATTCTTCTATAGAATCTTCAATCAAAATGCTTAATAATAGTAGCTGGGCACCGTCCATTTCTTCTGGTCTCATGGCAAAGGAGGCAGTTGTTCATGAAGGCAATTAGCCATACATTCTATATCATCCTCTTATTTCTGACTCTCCTTTTTCCTCTGTTGCTCCAGGTGAATAGAGACAAATTGTTGTGCCTTTGATGGCCACTTACAAGCTTTTAAGACCCTATGCATTATGCAACGAACTAGGAGGTAGAACAGAAGCACTAAACACGATACTGCTCCAATTAACTGGAATGTCCATGAAACCATGACCTTAAACCTTCAAACCAAGGAACCAAATCCCATGAGGTTTTTGGTTGTACAAAAGCAGTCTCAGCAGCTACTCTTTTTTTTGTCATTGATGTAAATGTATCTGTCACACAACTTTGCCAATTCAACTTTTTACAGATTTACAACTTACTGACAGCAAGTACAATAATTGGCTGTGCAACCCTACCCTTAATCAGTGCGATTTTTCCATCACTGTTAACTCCACTTCCCACTACCCTCCTGCCCCTGGTAACCACTAACAAACTTTGGTCTCTATACATTTGCCTTTTCTTGTCTTTTTATATAAGTGAGGTCATACAGTATTTGTCCTTTTGTGATTGACTTATTTCACTCAGCATAATGTCTTGAAACTCCATTCAATTGTAGCATGTATCAAGACCTCATTTCTGCTATTGACTGAGTTGTATTCCATTGTATGTATGCACCACATTTTTTTAAGCCATTCATCTCTCGATGGGCATTTACGTTGTTTCCGTCTTTTGGCTATTGTGAATACTGCTGCAATGAACATTGGTGTATAGGTCTCTGTTTCAGTTTCTGCTTTTAATTTTTTGGGGAATATACCTAGGAGTGGAATTGCTGGGTATAAGATATATTATATTTTAGTTTTTTGAGGAATGGCCACACTGTTTTCCACAACAGCTGTACCATTTTGCATTCTCACTAGCAATGGATAAGGATTCCAATTGCCCCACATCCTCGCTAACATTTGTTATTTTCTGTTTTTTTTTTTTTTGTTTTTTTTTTTTTAATCTTAGCCATCCTAGTGGGAATGAAATGGTATCTCATTGTGGTTTTGATTTGCATCTCTCTGATGGCTAATGACATTAGTATCTTTTCATGTGTTTGGTGGTCATTTGAATGTCCTCTTTGGTGAAATGTCTATTCAAGTCCTTTGCCCATTTTATGATTGGGTTGTCTTTTTATTGTTAAGTTGTCAAAGTTTCATACATTTTTAGTTATTACTTTCTTATTGTATACATAGTTTGCGAAGATATTCTCCCAGTCAGTAGCTTGTCTTTTCATTTTTTTGGTAAAATCTTTTGATGAAGAAAAGTTTTTAATTTTTATCAGGTCCCATTTATTTTTTTTATCTTGTCTTTTGATGTTTGTGTTTTTGTTATTATATTAGATATTCCATTTTTAAAAACTAGGCCTGACAATATTGCCCCTGTATTTTCTTCTTAGAATTTTATGGTTTTAGTTTTCACATTTAGGTCCTTAATCCATTTTGAATTTGTTTTTGTGTATGGTGTGAGGCATGGATCCTGTTTCATTTTTCTGCATAGCACATTTATGAAAATATCTGGCAGGGGGAGGAAGTGGCTGGCAAACAAACATAGACAGCATGGTTATTTGTGTAAAAATACACTAGAATCCTTGTCAGAAATCAGTTGACCATAGATGTGTGGGTTTATTTCTGGACTCTCAATTTGATTCTATTGGTCGATGTGTCTATTGTTATACCAGTACCAGGCTGTTTTGATTACTGTGATGGTTAAGATTGTATGTCAACTTGGCTAGACCATTATTCTCAGTGTTTTAGCAGTTGTATAATGTTGTGATCACCCCCATGATGGAATCTGCTGAGTGGTACTGGCGGAGGCGGGGCCTGTGGTAGCTCACCGCCCTCTCAGTTTCATCTCTCTGACTTCCGCCGGTTACC